CTCGATCACCTCCTTGTACTCTTGCTCTCCGGTGGTCACGAACTCCACCAACTTGTTCTCTACATGCATGCATTGATGATGCAACGCTTAGTATTTTAGCAATAGCAACTCTTAAAATAAGAATACATATGCTAAACTACTAAGCTAGCTCTAATAACTAAGATACTAACTACCTATCATTTCCACCAAAACAGGTATGGATTCATCTAACAGGTACTAACTTAGCAACTAAAATGTAATCTTACTCTTATTAGTGATTTAACTTATATTACAACAAGGAGCACCTAACTATCCTAGTGCTTAGCCTATTCTAGGGCTACAAAAATTTCAGAGCACATAATAATACAATGAAGCTACTACAAAATTTTCAAAGCTAAAGCTATCACCATTTTACCACAAAAATTCCCACAATATTTAAACTAATAATATTAAGCATCCTTAACTAATTTAATGGCTCCTAAGGTCAACATAAAATGAATAATTTCAGGAGTCTAACAAAATTTATTTCACAATTTTTGGACATCTACATGATTTTAGATTAATTACACAAAACTGGTTCTTAAATAAAAATACAAAACCATTTCTAATTTTTTACTAAAAAGACGAACCAAATTGGCCCACGCCGCCCACACGGGGCGCGACCCACGCGCGGAGGCGGCCCACGGCGGGGAGCCCGCGTGCGCGCTGGCGTTTTAGTGAAAACACCCCCGAGCTACCTACTATTCTTGCAATCATTATTTGTCCTATTTACTCAGTCATCACTTATGCACGAAAGACCACGAGAGAAATTGTCTTGACATCGGGGAGGTCCCTGCAACCCCCGCGCTCGCTGGCGCGGCGTGGACCGATACAACCCCGTTACGCCGGCCAACCAGGACCCTTGCAGACCTAGCTATGGGACCGATACGCGACGATGGGCGGTGGTTGCATGAACGGAGGTGAAGCAGGATGGGCTCTCCCAGGCGGCAGGTGACCTATAGCAGCGGCAACCGTGTTTCGAAGAGCCACAGCGTGCAACAGATAATAGAAATGATGGGTAAGCATCAATGGCCCACCACGATCCTACCCGTGGCGGTGTCCTGGACGGAGAAGCCCCAAGCAAGTATGGCCGTGTGCGCGCGGCGAGCTCAACGACGAACCGCAGCGACACGGCCGTGTCAGCGGCGTGGAGATGGCTATAGGGCTGCAACTTGGGTGTGCACGACAAAGAGGGGTTCTAGGTGGGGCTAGTGGTGCGGTCAATTCGACGCGAGATGGCGAGGTTGGAGCTGGCCACGGTGAGACGGACTAGGACTCAATGGCGCGGTGGTGGGAGCAAAGCACCAAAATTGGAGCTTGGCCTTGCCAAAATCAAGGCGGGGTGGGGGGCGGTTGATGAGAGGCTATGAGGACGGAGCTGTGGGTGCATGGAATTGATGGGAGACGACCCCTCATAGGCAGGCGCATTGGCGTGGCTCGGCGGCGGCGGCAGAGAGAAGGAAAAAGAGAGAGAGACGGGGTGTGGCCGGTGACTCGACGAGGCGAGCCTTGGCGGGATGCGGTTGACGTGACTAGCGCTACCCGTAGCCAAACGCTAACTGATAGGCGTGCATGCTCGCAACTGGCGTGGCCCGCGTGCCGCAGTGCCATAAATGGCATGGCGACGGCGGTCCGGCCTCGTTTGCGCGGCATCAAAGCAGGCCAGCGCCGCAGCACGATGCAGCGGCAGGCGACGCAGTGCGTTGCAGCGGGCAGGCGTGATACAACAGTAGCGGCAGTGGCTGCGCACGGGATAGGGGCAGCGTCGCTCAGTCGGGCAAGCCACAGCAACGGCGGCTCCTCGCGGTCGAGTCAAGGTGACCAGGCCGACCAAGTGCTGCAGCGCGCGTGCGCACGCAGAGCGTGCCAATGCCATGACGACGCGCCCCCACGGCCTGGTGACCGCGCCTAGCCCACAGGGCTAGCCCCAGAACGTGCTGTGCATGGATTTTAAAGCAACGACTACCACTAAACCATTGCCTTTAAACCGAAACCGACTTCACCACGATCAAACTGATACATGAGGCTTCTCAGCTGAGTTAAAATACCGCATCACCCTCTAACCCAATCTCTCTAAATAAATTGCTAAACTTAGCAATGGCCAGCTGTACACAAGCTTAAAATTTTTCTAAGTTTTTTGAGTTAAACTCTATTTCAAATTATATTTCTAAGCTATTGAAAATATTACTAAGCAATATTATTTTTCAACAGCAAGCATTTCATTGTCATCTACAAAGTTTGCACTTCCAACTTTATTTAAGTATCACACACATGTTCTATAGTATTTTTGCTTAATAAAAATTGGTTTTCAACCCTACTTGATATGCATGAAATATCGAATCAACTTTCGTTTACCATTTTTATTGACCATTTTGAGTTACAGAAATTGATCTACACACTTTATCACATGCATTAACACATAAACATGATGCTCATGACATGTTTTAATAATTGATTTAGGGTGTAACACTGAGGATGTTACAACCAACCCTGTGCCACGCCGCACGGACAAGACAACACTGCCTCAAAGCGGTGACAACGGGTACGAAGACCACCGACTAGACATGGCCTGGTGATATGGATATACGGTCCCACCCACTAAGGGATGGGATCCGTGATGAAGGCCACGACATCGAAGCCATCTAGACTGGCAGCGAGCCCCGACCTCGACAACCGGGGTCATGGTCCTCGGCTCCTCAAGACAAGACGGACATCGTGTCCTGGGGTGGTCACCAACTCCTGTACGACGCCCTGGGAGACAAGGCGATGATGACGAAGACCACAACGGAGACCATGCCGCATAGGACGGCTGGCGAACCATCACCATGCCCACAGTGCCGCCACGGCCAGCACAGTAACACTACGTCACACCCTGTCGTAGCATGGCCACAAGACCATGACGATAGCCATGACCGGATGAGCACCAGAAGACGGCGTAGCTTGCAAGCCAAGTTAGCTAGGACCTCCCTCAGGCTCACGACCCTTCGGTCGGGAGAGCCTCCTCTTTGTATGAGCCCTGGCCCCGAACTCTATATAAGGACCGCCAGGGTAAGACGATTCACATCCTCTACTATTCCATTCAATTACTATCTTTGTAGGGCTCCTGGATATTCTCTTCGGGCAGCCCTTCGCCTAGCATAGGTACTTTCATCTCTTCCACCATTCTTGCACCTCTATTGTAAGAACTTCAGAGCATTCAAGCGAGGAACATGCACTCGATCATCTCTAAGACTGGACGTAGGGCTCCGACCTAAACCAATATAAATTCTCGTGTCTATTGGATGCTACCATCGTCTTTCTAGAGCAGCGTGGCAATCGATTAAGTTTACTAGTCTAGTTTACAAAACATTGACACTTCTAATCTACATCAAAGTTATCCACATTTGTCATTATTAAAATAAACTAAAATATCCATCTAAATTTACAACTAAACTACTCACATTTTCTGTTATGAAAGATAAGCTAAGGTAAACTCTTAATTTGTATCTAGTTTACTCACCTCTATCATTATTAAAAATAAACTAAACATCCCCTTAAACATGCTCTAGATTACTCAAGTATACTATTATGAGTAATCGGTGACCAAAATTTATCACAGTTTGTGAAGTACTAGTCCATCAACCTTTGATGTTACATGACCTATTAATTTAAAAGACACAAGCGTTATAAGGGGTGTTTGGATACATGGACTAAAGTTTAAGAGGTGTCTCATCGGATGTTACGTGGGGTGTCGCATGGGTTGTTCGGATACTAATAAAAAACAAATTACAGAATCTATTAGTAATCCACGAGATAAATTTATTAAGCCTAATTAATCTGTCATTAGCACATGTTTACTGTAGCACCACATTGTCAAATCATGGATTAATTAGGCTTAAAAATTTGTCTTGCAAATTAACTCAATCTGTGTATTTAGTTTCATAATTAGTCTATATTTAATACTCCATGCATGTGTCCAAACATTCGATGGGACAGCGACTAAAGTTTATGAGGTGGAACCAAACACCCCCTAAATTCATGGGTAGATTAGGCACCACAATTAACCAGAATTGTTTATCTTCGCTTTTACCAAGCTCATTTGTTCATATTAAACACAATACTTACGTGGATACTTTCTTATTTTTATCCTGGTGTTACTTATTTTTATGTGGATACTTAACTGGTAAGTAAAATTTTATCACGTGTTACTTTGGGCTATTTTCATAACGAAAGAGGTTGATAAAGTTTGAAAAATAGAAAAGACCTAATGTCTATTATTGTCTCTAAAAATTCGAGTCTATTGATTTAATGGACGTATATGTGATTCTTGCGACATTTTCTAAGATTTATTTTTATAATATCACGTGAGGATTGACGTGTGGAGGATTAAAAAGGAGTTTCAAATTAGTAATACTAAAGTATATATGGATATTGTGTTATAAAATAAAGAGAACAATGATAGACAATCTAATTTAGAGGATGTCTCCTAAAATTCTAACAAGTTCTCAAGGCTGATCTACTAGTTAAGCTCAAACCAATGTCATTCCTCACAAATTTTCAAGCAATCGCAATATGAATCTAGGGAAAGTAACTCACGTCGGCATGTTTACATTACTTGATGCTTATTACCAAAACATGCTGGAGCATGGTGGAATATGTTAACAAGCTGGATGTAGATAGTACTGTCTGGTTTGTGCTTTCAAAGCATTGGCACGTCGCTCCATAATATCACCTCGGACTAACGACAATATATAGTTTGTACGAAAACACTTGTCAACTCCAAAATGACAGTAGTCACAAACAAAAGAACTTATCATTGCAAACATAACATTTCAATATCTGTATTCCTTTACGAAGATGATGAATAAGTAATTGTAAGCACACAACAACGAAGACGGTGAAGTTCAATTAAAATTACAGATATAAGATCCGGCTGGTCATATGTACTAGTATTCATCTGCATCGAAAAATGGCCCCATGCTTCAATGCATATACAATATACTTCACCAATGGCCACCGCCAATGCCACCACCACCGCCGAAACCGCCGCCGCCTCCACCGCCCAAGCCAGCGCCACCTCCGGCACCACCGCCAAACCCTCCTCCAGCACCACCTCCGCTGCCCAAGCCAGCACCACCACCGAACCCTCCTCCAGCACCACCTCCTGCTCCACCACCAGCGCCGAAACCGCCACCACTACCTCCACCAAGACCTCCGCCGAAACCTTTGCCTCCCCCGAAGCCGCCACCTATTCCAGAACCGCTGCCACCTCCAAGGCCACCACCACCACCGAAACCGCCGCCACCACCGGCACCGCCACCAAGGCCGCTGCCTCCGCCAAGGCCACCTCCAGCTCCACTTCCCAATCCACCACCTGCACCGCCACCAAGGCCACCGCCTCCGCCAAGACCACCTCCAGCTCCACCACCTGCACCGCCACCAAGTCCGCCATCTCCACCAAGGCCACCTCCAGCACCACCACCTGTGCCAGCACCACCTCCAAACCCTCCTCCAGCGCCACCACCAAGGCCTCCACCAGCACCACCACCTAGGCCACCACCTGCGCCGGCGCCCCCGCCAAGTCCACCTCCTCCACCAAGACCACCTCCAGCACCACCGCCTAGCCCGCCACCCGCTCCATCGCCTAGCCCGCCTCCTCCACCAAGACCTCCTCCGCCTCCAAGGCCACCACCATGCCCAAGCCCTCCACCGAGCCCACTGCCTGCTCCGCCGCCACCGCCGAGCCCACCGCCACCACCAAGACCACTGCCCACGCCTAGGCCGCCACCTTTTCCACCTCCAAACCCGCCACCAAGACCTCCACCATGCCCGAGCCCTCCACCAAATCCACCACCGGCGCCAGCTCCTCCACCAAGCCCAGCACCACCACCGAAGCCAGCACCTCCGCCGAAACCGCCGCCGCCGCCCAAGTTCTGCGTCTCAAGGAACCGCGCCTCAACGGCCACTCCGAGAGCCAGCACCACGGCCAATGCCGCGAGCTCCAAGGCCGGCACACGCCTCGCCGCCCTCCCCATGACCATGAGACAGTGGAGTAAATTGAGCTGTGCGTTGCTGCAGCTGTGATGCTTGCAGCGAAGGACGCTGCATGCTTATATAGCGGAGCCGATGGATCAATTGGAGCGAGTGGGCAGTGTGGAAAGCTAGCAGACTGGTGCATGTTTACGTGGAGTTAATGCAGGTAGTTGCAGACCAGGCTAGCTATCAAAAGTCACGTCTCAACTGTCACGGCCTCAGCCTCCAAAGGCATGCCGCGCCAGCTACAGGCTACAGCTAGCGAGGAGACACGCTGAGCGGGATGGAAGAAACCTGCCGATGCCGTCGTTAGGGTTAGGGGTAGCGAGGCGAGGAACATATAGAGCAGAGCACGCCATGGGCGGGCAGAGACGGGCCCGGCTGTCTCGCGGCTATTTAGGCCTTGTTTAATCCTACTCAAAATCTAAATTTTTTTAAGATTTTTCGTCACATTAAATTTTGTGGCACATACATGAAGCATTAAATATAGGTAAAAAGAATAACTAATTACACAGTTTATCCGTAATTAGCGAGACGAATCTTTTAAGACTAAATAATCCGTAATTAGACAATTTTTGCCAAATACAAACAAAAGTGCTACAATAGCCAAAGTCAAAAAATTTCGCATCTAAACATGGCCTTACCTTTACCAAGGGATACACTACCCCCGGCGGCCCCGGCACGCAGACTCTGTGCAATGTGTTTGACGCTGCTCGTAGCCGATGGCGGGAGCGGACCAACCATGCATGGGCGTTCGCAGGGAGTGGTGGATTCGGTTGGTGAGCTGTGACTCTCTGAGCGGACGGGGCGTGCGGGGGCGGAACAGGGGCGCAGGGACGCCGGTGCATTTATGTTGACGCGCTTGACCGGGTGGGCGCCGGCCGCTCAACCAACTGACGAGCCAGAGCGCGCGCCGGCGACGACGCATGTTACCTTGTTGGACAAGCGGACATGGATACGGATGCGCCCATGCCACCGTGACACTGTATGTCACGGTGCCGCGGCGCTTTTCGTTTCCTATACCGGCTGCAGTCGCACCGGTATACACGTACGCTCGCGCACGCAGTTCGTGGTCGTATTTGTACCTGGCAGCTGTACCTGTACGCACGCACGGCTGGCCGGCACGCGGGGCGTGCTTGACTGCTTGTGCTGAGCCACCGGTACGGTGTGAGACTTGCCATTATCAGAACTGATACGCGTACAACGATGATGTCACGTACCTCTGGGGGCAAAATTTACTTTGTCATTATGTACTGCCGACAGTATAGATAGCCGGTGAGAGCAATGTACTCCGTAGGTAGTAGGCAGCAAGGATCTGTTATCTGTATATGCATGGCCTGTGGTTTGTGGCACGAGCTGGCTTTTAACTTTGGAGTCATGCATACTACGCCACACAGTCACAACTCACAACTGAGGAAAAATACGAAAGCTACTAAACCTGCTTGCAGGCTCGCGCTTTCTATCTGGCCGGCCGGCCTGACTGTCCTGTAAATGACTAACTACTAGCGGTTAGAAAATTCACTCCCCTAGCTACAATAAGACCTATACGCTTACTTTAAAAAAACTACAGAGTATATAGACTTTTTTTATTTACAGATCGAGGTGGGCCGGCTAGGCTACCGCTTTGCAAATTAAAATCGTGTACATCCGCTTTCCGCCATGACGCATTACTGATCTTACATTAGCCAATTATTAATCGCTGGGACGTACTGGGAACGTGCCCCTGGCCTGATCGGCTGATCCAAACATGCATACCCACAGATTTGCGAACCCACCACCATCAAATCATCAATAGTGCCAACGGAAGCCAGACCGGTTGGCCGACGCTTGGTCCTGAGTTGGATCCCCTCGGTTACGAATTTTAGTCCCGAAGGTAAAAAAAATCCTCTCGTGTAAAAAAAAAAACCATCTATCCCACGTCAAAGTACATATCGGGGATCAATACTAGAATATCCGAAGAGGAGCTAATAACCATCAACATTGATTCGTCCGAGCAGTCAAGAGCGTGACCACAGCTCTAACCGACCCCCAGGTGTGCAAACTCCGCCTTGCCCGAACCCTGAGGGCTAGCTCCGCCTCACCCGACTCCTGAGAGCTGGCTTCGCCTCGTCCGACCTCTGGGGGCGGGGTCCGCCTCGCCCGATCTCTGGGGGCGGGCTCCGTCTCGCCCGAGACCAAGGCGGTGGGCTCCGCCTCGCCCGATCTCTAAGGGCTGGCTCCGTCTCGCCCGACCTTAGGTTTGGGCTCCGCCTCGCCCGAGCGTTGGATTTGCGCTCCACCTCACCCGACCCCGATGTCGGGGCTCCGTCTCGCCCGACGGAGACCCCACACCGCTGCCAACCACTCCAGGTCCAAGCGTATGGGCCTGGGTCAAAGCTTTGACGCCAGGGAAGAGACTGGCACGCCTCGATGTAGCCCGCGACGGGCCATACCTGGGGGTTTACGTTAGGAACAATGTCGGGCGTACCGGTGCTGTTCTGCCTAACCTCCGTACGAACACTAACGGACGCGTCAGTTCGTCACGATGTTCGCCAGGACGCAGTGGAGCGCCATGACCGGCAGACGACGCCTGCACATGGCGCTAGTGACGGACAGGGCCGCGACGGGAAGCTATCCCTGTTGACGTCTACAGGGTCGGCGGGACCCGCATATAGGAGAAGAAGGACCCGGCGATACTGAAGGACTTCTCCTTCTCATTCTCCTCTTTTCCCTCGACTGTAACCCGTGCATTCCCTTGGCCTATAAAAGAGAAAGCAGGGCATCCCATGAATGGGACTCGAATCGGACTCGAATCGATCGCGTCGCAACACATCACACCGATTCGGACTTGAACTCCGAACCGATTAGAACACACAAGCACAGAGCCAAGAGGCGACCGAGCTCTCGGCACCCGTTTACTCTTTCCACCAGAGACTTAGGACATGTCCCTCTCTCGCTCATTTGTAACCCCTACTATAAACTTTCAGTGCTAGTAACACGAGCAGCAGCAACGAACTGGACGTAGGGACATTCTGCCCGAACCAGTATAAACCTCGTATCCTCTTAGCACATCATCCGGACCAAGCGCGCAATATTAGAAATTTACTCGTTGGTATTTACTCGAAACACCGACAGTACAGGTCTGTGGCCGTCCCGTCTCACGGGGATGTGGTGCCGCTGTATATGGGTGGGACCAACCCGATAGATGCCTAGGTCGTTCTAAAGACCGACCCGGGTGGCCTAACGGCCTCTCCTTCGATGGAGATTCTGTGGGCCTAACGAGAGGTTCAGGATCGAACGAGAAGATTGAGATGACCCAGTCTGCCGGACCGGGCATGGGCCGCACGGTGCTCATCTATGGTTTTCTCCCCTGGCTCTGTTGGTTGCCCATATCGAATGAGGCAACCCCGCTTCGTGACGCAACATGGAGCGTTCTGATGCATTTCGCTACACGTGCGATGCTTTAGTTCCCGAGCCCCCGGGCGGTTCATGCCCTAACCGTCCGAGGGGTTCAGGCGTATGAAATGAATGCGCGTATGGATGTATGAATGTTTTAAAGAAACAGAGGGGGTTTTGATAGTGTTTACCTTGGTGACTGGAGTGACGGAGCTCGGAGAGCTTCAGTCGGAGACGTCAGACCGGGACCCATGCTCGTCGCTCGGGACGGAGTCGGCATGGCCCATATAGGGCGTCCCTTAGCTTCCTACTTGTGTCCTGGTGTGGATACTGAGCGACTCAATCGACTCAGGGGGCCGGTCGGTCTTCCGATGGAGATTTCGTTTTAGGTCTCGCCTGGCCTGGGGGAGGCGGGAAGCCGCCCGCGTGCGATGGCACTTTGGTTTTCACACCCTGTCGTGCGATAGTGGTGGGGCATACCCCGGCCACGCTTCGCCCTACCCGGTGGCGTTTCGTCTGACCCGGCGTTACTCCGTTGGTCAGTGCGCGTCCTATCGTTTCCCATTCGTATGGGGGTAGGCGGAGAGTTTCATGCTCGCTTACCTTTTTCCTTTAAATAGGGGGAGGGAGAGGGTTCTCCATCGTGGTCTTTTGCCTGTTCTCCAACTATTGTCCCTCTTCTTTCTTCCTTCTCACCTAGGGTGACTGAATGCCGCGGCGGTTCCTAAGTGAGAGAGAGAGTGAGCGAGGGGGAGGACTTACAGATCCTTCTGTGAACTCGGAGCGTGATGTCGAACTAGAGGTGATGCTAGTTTGCGAGGCCTTCTTCGGGATGGAGCCATGTGTAGGTTCTCTCTGGTGGATCTTTACCGGACGAGCCTTGTCGGAGGGGAGGTTACTCATGATTGCGCCGGTGGAGAGTTCCATGCCTACAACTACTCAAGTCGGCCAGTTCATAAAGTTTGATGATATTTCTTTCGGCCATGGCGACCATACCTCGGGAGCGGCGCCCCTAACCAGGAGCTGTCTCGGCTGCATGAGAAGGCCAAGAGCTCCATGTTCTTCTACTGAGCATCCATAGGCGCGACGCCCTTGAGGCACCCGTTGCGTTTTTCTGAAGTTTTGAAGGGGCGGAACCGAGCGGTTTTCTGGCGTTTTAGATGAAGTAGTCGAGTGGCCGCAATAGTATTTGTAATAGAAAATGTAATAGTTAAGTTTTGTGGGTAAGTAGGGTTCAGAGATTTTCTCGATCTGCATGAGAAGATCTTCTTCTTGATGAAATACTCAGTGGGACGTCGCCCCCCCCGCGGATTGAGTTTTTTAAATCATCAATAATGCTAAAACGAAAACGACCAACGCAAGTCGAAAGGCGTCCTGCATCATGCAACGCCGATGAGACCGTTGGCCACCTTGTGGCACGACGCACGCCTCCGTCCCCCGCGAATGATGAGTTCGTGGGGATGACCAAATATGTTGTGGAGTCTTTCCACGACCTCCTCGCAGGAGAATCGGAGTCGCCCTCCAGCTCTGACTCTACCAGGGAGAGCCATCACCCTCTTGTGAGTGTTTCATGGCGGGTACCCCCGAGGGACACGTAGAAAGCATCCATGAAGAGGAGGTTACCCCG